ATAAGGGGCGTGCACAAGAGCCTGCTCTCCCTCGCCTCCTCCCGTGGCGTGATCTCCAGCAACCAATCCGCTTCTTATACGTCATAAATGGGACCTTTAGGGCATATATAAGCAACAGCTCTCCCACTTCTCGGCGTCTTCGGTCTTCATCCTTAGTATGCTATGTAAGAGGCTTATGAAATAAACTGCTGCAGAAGGATCCTGACTTGTCCTCCCGCGTCGTTCTTGCCGGCGAGACGGAAAGCGGTCGGGGACAGAAGTGCATCCTGACCACCCAACCTACTTGTCTCCGAGGTCTCAAAGGTCCTCCTCATTTCATGGCAGGATTTTGCCCTGTGCAGGTGTGGTCTCCTTGGGGTTGGGGGACAGTAGCATAAGCTGAGAAAGCCATCTCTAATTCTTCTCCCGAGGCTCCTCCAGCCACCTGTTCGCTGCCTTGGAGAGGCTCTGGGAATCCCGTCGGACTGGCTGCTGAGTTGCTCCTCAGATGCTTCTAAGGCAGATGAGCTGCTGCCTCTCTCCTGTGAGCTGTTGCTCTCATCCTGATCTTCCTCACTTCACAGGGAAGGTGACATATTGCAGGAAGACTCGCTGCTCCTTGTCCTATAAATGTTGTCTCTGGTCACTTGTTTTTTTTCATAGGAGGAGATTTTCGCAGATGTGAACTCCCATGATTCAAGAGTGGAGATGCTCTCAATCTCTGCTGAAGTGATCCCCTTGCATTCATCCATCTGAGAACAGTGTGGGCAAGGTTGCTCAGTGCTCCTCAGGAGAGAAGCTCTGTCCCTGTGGGCCCACTTGGAAGGCATGCCATGACTTTGACTAGGCTTCTCCCCTTCATTAAGTTTAGGGACAGTGGGCAAAGGGAACACAGGAAGGGTAGGGACACTCAGTACCCTTTTTGAGGGCACAGGAAAGGCAGAAGCATGTACAGCATTGTGATCCAAATTGCCCCTCTGGGATGACCATTGCTCCAGCATTAAATATGTTGCCATAACATCATTGAATTCTTGCAGTTTCAAAGATTCTTTGATTTCTTGAGGCCTATAGCCCATGGCGCACATATCTATGAGAATGGAAGGGTCTGGTTGGTGGGGGAGTTGTTCTGTTGTGCAAACTATTCTGGAAGAAGGCTCTTCATCATGGTTCAGCCATGGGTGCTGCATTAATTGGATGACCGTGGGCCTCCTTCTGGGAGTAACACTCAGAAACTGGGCAAGGAGATTTTTCAGGTCTAGGGAGAGCTAGGATGGCATGGTGTAATTAGCAGCTAGGATGTTCTGCTTGGTCCTGCAGTTCGCTGTGTTTCCAAATGGGAGCTTCACTGATACGATGAAATACAGCACCACTCCCAGGCTCCAGATGTCAGCAGCCAGCCCATCGTATTGTTGGAAATCAAAGAGCTCTGGGGCACGATATACAAATGTCCCATAGAAATCACTGACCCTCTCTCCAGGGGGGAATTTTCTCCCCAACCCAAAATCACACAGCTTTATATGTTCAGCAGGATGTTCTTGGCTTTCAGGTCACAGTGGGCAACCCTGTTCTGGTGGCAAAATAGAATTTCCCAGCATAACTCTAGGAAGAGTCTGCGGGCCCCCTCCTCCTCCACATGCCCAAGCTTCTCCACATAGCTCTTCAGCTCTCCCTTGCTGGCATATTCCAGTACGAAGTACACATTTTCTACCGTGTTAATGACCTGATACAGTTTGATAATATTTGGATGTTGGAGCATTTTCATAATTTCAGTCTCTCGCCTTATCAGGGAGCCATCTATTTCGGTCTTTTTCAGCACTTTCACTGCCACGTCGGTGGCAGTGAGGCGATGGTAGCCGAGTTTCACGTGCCCAAAATTGCCTTTGCCCAGTGTCACTGAGAGGTCATAGTGACTTGATACGGTGTTCTCCTCACACAAACTGTCCTCGAGGTCACTCTCCATGATGACCTCACTTCTCTTTGTAGAAATAATCAGCAGCAGCATCAAATAAAATGGGAGAGAAAGGAAGTTAAAAGTAATACTAGGAGTTCATAGCCATAAATACTTACATTACAAAATCAGAGATACCGCAAATAAACTGTGTGTCTTTATGTTTCGAGGTCACGGGAAAACAAGCAGAAATCATACCCAAAGGCAGGGGTGGAAGAAGTACCCAGGATCAGAGCTGACAGGGAAGAAAGAGAAAGCAGAAGAAAACGGGACAGCAGAACAGAGGTCCTATTTGAAAGGATAAAATGTTGACACACCTTTAGCTGATGAACCAATAAACAAGGGGAGGCACTAATTGATTGCAATAAAATTAGAAACAAAAAAGCTCTTATTACAGCAAGTGTCTCTGACATCCAGAGGATCATCAGGGACTATTTTAGAGACTTTACATTTCTCTGACCTGAAAAGTTTGAAGTAAATAAATTTCTAGACACATATGACATACCAAAATTGAACCAAGAAGATACAAGAGTCAGAAAAATCAATCAGGAAGATTGAAAGAGTGAAAAATAAAAAATATAGTGTAAGAAAGAATACCCAAGACCAAAGAGGGTCATGGATGGGTTTATCCAAGAATGCAGGGAATGTAAGACATACAAATTGATTGAAAAAATACTGTGTTTTGTGGGCTGGAGAGATGACTCCCAGGTTAAGAGCCCTGGCTGCTCATGCAGAGGACTGGGTTCCATTCCCAGCACCCACTTGGTGGCTAGCAGCCATCCATCCAGACCTCTAGTTGCAGGGCATTTGATGGTTTCTTCTATCCTACCTAGGCATTGTATGACTGGAGTGCACTTACATAGATAGGTGCAGGCAATACATTACATGGATAAAAAAAAAATAAAAATAATATTTTTAAAATACTGCACATAAGGAAAAGCAAGGAGAAGCATCATGTCTCCCCTAAAGAAGAAAGTTTTTCATTTTCTGGGAATGAATGTAATTTGCCATCACTGTGTTACATGCAATAATCTAGTCCCCAAAGGACAAATATCACATATGATCCCTTTTATGTGGAATCTGGGTGGAGGAGGGAACTGAAAGGACGAGGAGCCCATGGGAGGACTGAAGGGAATTGGGGTGGGTAGAGAGCATTAGAACAGAGCAGGCATTCATGATCAAAGGACATGCATGTATGAGGATGTCATAATAAAATCCCTTACTCTATACAACTAATACACCTGGAAATTTTAAAATAAGAAATCAAAATTTAAAAACGAAAAAGGAACATGAGACGTCAAAACAAAAAGAGTGATAACTCACTGTCGAATTCAACCAGATGATCGAAGTCCTAAGTTCAACCAATCATCAACGTCCAACTCCAAAGAATCACCAGCCTTCAAGTCCAACTGTTCGTCAATGTCTGAATTCAACCGATCTCCAACCAAGTCCAACCAACTACCAACCTCCAAGTCCTACCACCCACCAACCTCCAAGTCCTACCAACTGCCAACCTCCAAGTCCTACCAACTGCCAACCTCCAACTCCTACCAACCGCCAACCTCCAAGTCCTACCAACCGCCAACCTCCAAGTCCTACCAACCGCCAACCTCCAATTCCTACCAACCGCCAACCTCCACCAAACTCTCTGCACTATAAGGACAAGGAGACAGCCCCAGGCAGTGCATTATATACAGCTGTCTTTAATTCTTCACAATGGCTCCTTTGTGATGTCAGATCAAGAGGACCACTCAGGGCTGGGCACAACCCTCAGTGGCTCTCTCATACCCCCCACCCCCAGTACCATCTGTATTACTTTTCTTTTCACTGGACCAAATGTTTGACAAGAAACAACTTAAGGGAGAAAAGTTTTCTTGTGGCTCATACATTGTGGGGACAGGGCAGGCATGGTGGTGGGAGAAATTGGTGGCCAGGGCAGGAAGCCCATGAGGGAGCTGGTCACACTGGCAGTCATCTACTCTCCCTCAGTCACCCTCTCTGACAGCCACGCCTTACTTCCAAGCTTTTTACAACTTCCCAACACAGATTCACCTGCTAGGGACCTAGTGATCCAACACATGAGCCTGAGGAGGACACTTCACATCATTCAAACCATATAAGGACATGCTAATAATGTGATAAGTATACTGACAATGATAATAATTATGCTTCATTGCATAGTTTTTACTCCAGGTAACTATGCCAAAGGTCATGTTTCAGATAAGGTCAGGCACCCGTGCTTGGTGGCACTTTCCAGGTGAGCCAAGAAGAGAGCAGGAGGCCTCCTGCTGAAAAGGGGAGTTCTTCCATTTGGCGCCCGAGATTTTTGTGTCACCTGAGGCATGTTACATATATGGGACAGAGAAGAAGAGAGGTTCACTCTGACTTCCCCAGAAGTCTTCCATTAAATGTGTCATCAGAAGCCTGGGATGTTAGAAGATAATAGGTTGATATATTCAAAATGATTCTGAAAAAAGCCTGTCAGCCCAAAATCCTACAGAGAGCCAAAGTGTCCTACCCATAGTCCTGGAAGATGGCACATTTCCTTGTTCCTTAATCCTTCCTGTTCTGCAGCACAAAATCTTTGGGAAATTTATAAAGAACTGATATTGAGTACTTGTTCATTTGATGGTTGGGAAGTACTAGAATTGAGTCTGGGATCTCAAGAAAATGACCACACAATCCACAGCATTTTGGCCAAGCCAATTTACTTCTGCAGAGGAGCACAATGACATACCCAGGATTCAAGCAGGCATGCAGACCTAGGTACTGTGTCACTGGGTTCTTATTCCTAATGCAAAAGGAGTCCCTTTCCTCACTCTGGGTGGTCAAAACTTTGCCTCGCATTCTGGTAGGGAAAAAAAAACCTTTAAAACATTGTAGTTGAGAACGAAAGCATAATTTTTGTTCAGTTCAACCCTTATGGAAAGCAATGTGGAGAACTCTTTAAAAACTACAAATGAACCTATCATTTGACCCAGTTATACCACTCCTTGGCATATACCCAAAGTACTCATCCTATTGCAGAGACATTTGTACATTCATGTTTGTTGCTGCTCTTGTCACAATAGCTAAGAGATGGGAGCAACCTAAGTGTCTTTCAACCCCTCAACTGACAGGTGGATAATAAAAATGTAGTACATTTACACAGTGGAGTTCTACTCAGTGGAAAAAAAGGATAAAATATGAAAATTTCAGGTAAATGGTTAGAGCTAGAAACTGTTATACTAAGTGAAGTAACACAGACTCAGAAAAAAAATTGACATATGTTCTCCCTCATATGTGGATCCTAGAACCAG